AATGCATCTTTAGCTATTCCAATGCTCTTTTGGATTTCAGTGTCGCACTTTCCGTCCTCTGTCAAAGCATTTCCCAGATATTTAAATTTTTGCACTTGTTTGATTTTGGTTATCTCCAAATTGTAAATTGCTTGTAGGGCTCTTCCGTTTGCTAACAACCATGCATTCTGTCTTCTTGCAGTTGATGTTTAGTCCTTACTTCTTGCTTTCCTTCACTAGCTTCTATAGGAGATTTCGTAGTTTTCTTTCCACTGTGTTTGTCTGCTTTCAACACTCTGTCATCTGTATGTCTTATGTTGTTAAGATAATGGCTGCCAATAAGGAATCCTAGTAGGATTTCTAATTCTCTTAGAATTGCCTCACTGTATAGGTTGTCTATTTTTGTATATCTACTAAACTCATTTTCTATCAGTATGCAGGTGGTTTACTGCCAGTATAGTTCTTGATAGTTCTAATATCATTCCCAAATTTTCATATCAAAATTCAATTAATTACCTATACCAGGCTGAGGACATATTGATCTGCCATCTTAAATTCTTATATGTACATGTACACAGGCAATATGCTGAATTGTTTTTGATAAATATTCTTAGTGAGTATGAAAGAATAATTAAAAAAATACACTCTTAATTAAGTGCCGGAGGGGGTTGTCAGTGATGTAATTTGACTTGGTTCTAAAATAATAAAATATTAATATTAATAAATTCATTCTTTCCTGAATCTATTTTGCATATTTATAAGTAATACCATCCTTCCAGGCTTTGAATATTGCTGCCACATATGGTCTGGTGTTCCTGCTGTATATTTAAAGATTCTTGATAAAATTCAAAAAAAAATCATGAATATTATTAGTCCTGACCTGGCATCTCAGTTTTACTTAATTTCTCACCACCGTAATGCAACTTCCCTGTACCTTTTCTATAAATACTTTCATGGTAGTTGTTCAGATGAACTTTTCTCTATGTTGGCTGTAGTAAGAATGGTAAGTAAGAATGTGTTGTTTTGGTGTAAGGAATATTCTGTTATGTTTGCATTATTAATTTGGCTAGCTAATTTTTAGATAAGACAGATTAATGACCAGCCCTCCCCTCTTCTCCCCCTTTGGCCTTGTGCCACATTTTTGTATTTTCAAAATAAATATTACTTTCCTTTATGGTACTTGGGCTTTAAGCTCAGTATTAGATTGGTAGAAAAGTTTCATTATTTTACAATTGCAATGGTTAGATGTAACTGTAAGTTCTATGCTAACAGTTGCTTCTCTCACACTTCTCACTTGTTGAAGTTTCTTCCAACTTCTTACTTTGCAGTCAACTTTAATCATCAAATATTTAAATGCAATGTCAATTGTTATCTTCTGAATTTGTTATATTGGTGCAATATGAATGAGTGATGCTGTAAATTAATTTTTTTTAGCCAATTCAGAAATGACCAACAATCCATTAAATATACATACATGCATACATTATATATATATATATATATATATATATATATATATATATATATATATATAAGTTGGGATACTGAAAAGTTGAAGCCTAACTTGCTACATCAAATTAGTATTTTGTTTGATGTTTGGTCATTAAAATACTGATTTTAGAAGTAGGACAGACCAAGAAATTTTCAGTACCTTTTTCATGTGTGTATATATATATATATATATATATATATATATATATATACACACACACACCATTATATATATATATATATATATATATACATGAGTATGGTTAAAGACCAATGAAACTTCTTTGCTAAGATTTTTTATATCTATTACTTCTATGTTGCAAACCATTTTTCTGGTTTCTGGTATATATTAAATATAAATTGTAGAATGTCTGTGCACTTTCACCTTTCATAAGCTATTATCAAAGAAAGGGTTTTGTTTTTTGTTCTACATTGGTCTCATCATCTATCTATACATACATATATATATATATTATGTGTGTGTGTGTACACACACACACATATAATAAAAAAGCTAATTGTCAGAGTGTAATTAGACCAGGAAACAGTAGTATTAAAAAGTGCTCAATACGCATGTAAAAAGATAAAAATTTAACATGCATGGCTTTTAAGTATAAAAAAATTCAGAGATCAGCTGATTCTGATACCTTGGTTTCAACTTTTTGGTATCTTCAGGCAATTTCAGTCAATTGATTTCCTAATGCTTTATTTTTTTAAAAAATAAATAAATGTTGTTGACGTTGTGATTATGCTGGTAGTGATAATAGCAGTGATGTTAATTATTATTGATAATGTTAATAATAGATATTGATGTGTTGACAGTAAAATTAGCCTTAATGACAGAATTATAAAAAAAAAAAAAAAGTGGAGGTGCAATAATGATGATCGTAGCTATGATAATAATTGTGATAATCATGATAATGATGATGGTAATAATACAGATAGTATAACAATAATGACGATCATTGTTCAAATATTATGTTTCTCTTTCATGTATAAAGTTGATTTTTTTAATATTTGTGTCTTCACTTAGCAGTTCATATTGTGTTGTTTTTTGGGTGAAATATATTTAATAGGTCAGCTCTTAAATTTGATAACATTTTTGATGTTGAATCTTTTGTTTTTATGGTAAATGCTTCTTGGATATTTAGCTATTCCATGCTTCTTCTCCTAATTTCTTTTTCAAATCATATTTTCAAACTTTTGAGGAAAGGTATTAAGTAGACATACATTAATTAATCTATCCTACTTTTCTGTTTTATGTGACTTTATTATACTTCTATATTTGTTTTTACAGTAAGGTTCACTCTGTACAAGGCCTGGGAGTCACTATAGGTAGAGGGTTACATTAAGAGGTAGTGTTTATGGATAGAAGAGGAAGATAACAGTTGACACTAGACTTGAACAGGTTAAGATTGTAGTGATCAAGGAAACATCCTCTTGGGAGTCTGTTCCATGGGCAGTGTTTCACTGGAAAAAGCTGTTTGAGTAGAAATTCTTGTGAATGGGATACAGAGGGAATGTGAGTGGTTTGTTACTATGTAAGTGGCATGGTATGTTCATGCCATGAATGTTTGACTTGGCAGGACCAGAGAGTGTAGTTTATCCAAGCATTTTTCTTTTGGCTGTGAGGTTCAGACCTGGTGGAACTAGCAGATGTTAATAAACTATATAAATAAAAAAAAATATTGTCTTTCATTTAGAATGAAGACAGAAAACTTTATTAAAAAAAAAAAAAGGGGAATCAAAAAGAAATATAAACAAACTTTATCTTGTGAGCAAAACAGACAAAAAAAACATTCAATTATACTGATTGCCAAAGAAAAAATATTGCCGACATATCAAATACCTTTTTGGAAACAATTGTTATCAACACCTGTCTACTTTGGGCTTTATTAGCTATTGTGCTGAATGTATTTGTAATTTTGCCTTTTCAAATAAGTTTTTAAGCTGAGTAAAAATTTCTGAAGACATGTTCTTGTGTATAATACGACCCTCCTTTTTTCATATCACTTTTACCTTTAGTATAAAAAAGATGTATCATCAGAAGATAAAACGCCTTTAAAAAAGGGTTCTTAATATCAATTTGTATGACTTTTACATTCTTTGGCATAAAAAAATGTATCTTTAGAAGATAAGAAAACTTCAAAAAAAATTTTTTTTAATATCAATTTGTATGACTTTTACCTTCTTTGACATAAAATAGATGTATCTTTAGAAGATTTCTCTTCAAAAATTGTTTAAATTCACCTTGAATGATACTGTATAATTTTTTTTTTCTTCTTTTACAGAACACAGTTCCTTGCTACTGAATTCTCATTTTTGGATCAAGTAGGGAAAAAAAATCTTAGACTTTTTTTTAAATCTCCTTTTTTATAGTATTTCAACATATTTGTATTACTTGTAAATTGTAGACTCTTCGAGTTTAGTTTAACAATGAATTTTGTAGCCAAATTTGGAAACGTATAGATTAGTCATAGCCATATCAAAATTTTGGAAATAGTCCTACGTTATGAATTCAGATTGTTTGTGAATTTTCAATTTATACTTAGGTTTGGGATCATTACTCTTTTTTTTTCCTTTTCTGATGAAGAACACAATATTATTATTATTATTATTATTATTATCATTATTATTATTATTATTATTATTATTATTATTCCCCCACCCCCACCCTTCCTTTCAAATGGTGCTGATGGGAAAACATCAGGTGAAAAGCAAAGATTAACACTTAAATAAAAGAAGAAAACGTTTACAATGTAAATGAATTATTTAATGTTTGAATTAAAGAAGACTTAAAACTTTGGAATTAAATATTTCAAAGACATGGCAAGAAAAACAGAAAAAATAAAAACAAATTTCTCATTCAGAAAATTTAAAAGTAAAATCAATATTTCTATACAAAGTATTGATTTCTTTAAAAAAAAAAAAAAAAATCTAATAATTTTTTTTTTCTTCCAATGCCTGCATTTGTATATTGAAGTAAATATGTTTATGAGTGAACATAATCTTATATTAAAAATATATTGACCTTGGTCTTTCATCTTTGAAATTTGCTACCCAGGTTATTGTTATACTTTTATTATTGGTAATATGGAATTGAAAAAAAAATGCATCCATGCTAATCACAATGAAACCAATGTTATCCTAAAGGAAGATAAAATACAAGAAAAAAAGGGCTTTCTCTGGCTTTATTTTACTGCTAATTCCAATAAATTCTTGTTTGTTTTTTTTTTATAACAAAATAAAGAAATTATTTAACTAGTGTTATAACTGTTGCTGCAATGAATTACAAACCCTCCCTTGCTTGTTTACTATCTTAGCTAAATATCCCTCCATCTGTCCATGCAAACCTTATTAATCTAAATGGAAGGCAAGTTTGTCTCCAGCCACTGGTAATGTATTAGGCTAACTGTGATAGAAGCGGCCATTACAAGCACAGCATACTTGGTAGGACTGCAGTTTCTTTCACGCACACATACACACAAACACAGGACATATTGGAAAAGCAGCAGTTATAGCAGTTCTACATGTTTGGATCTCATCACATCTCACAACAGATACAAGTGGCGTTTACTGCCAAGGTAAGTTCATATTTATCTATCAGTCAATGCATCACTGTGTTTTTAAGTTCTGGTGGTCATCTGTTTTGTTTTGGTTAGAAATTAGACAACTGAAAGGCTTTTAATAGTTCAAATTCATTAAGACCTTTATGCATCAGTCGACGTATGTTTTATGTATTTATTATCTGTTGCAATTTTTGTTGCTCGGATTTAAAGCCAACTACATTTATTCTGCTGATTTGTTCAATATACAGACATATCTGTTCTCCTTGGAAACAAAATACCAAAATTCTTATACTGGAAATGATTCTCATTTACAAAGCTCCAGAAACCTTTACTGTGAGTACTTATATATTATACATTGCACAAGCATTTATTTGTTGAGGTTTTTGTAAGGCTTGAATCTGTAAACCTCTAGAAGCTTTTGTGATGATAAACTACATGAAAGTCAGGAGGTTTACTATGAATTAAGGCACATATCTATATCTATCTATCTATCTATATCTATCTATCTATCTATCTATCTATCTATCTATCTATATATATATATATATATATATATATATAAAAAGGTTATTTTTATGGATACCTGTATTTGAGTAGACACTGTTTATTTTAATCAGTATTTATTTCATCTACCGGCCTTCATACTCAAGAAAACTTAATAAAGAAAATAACTGCAGCTTAAAATAAATGGTGCATTTATACATGGTAACCACTAAAAAATAACATTTATAATAACAAAAATATAACACATTGTATACATATCTATATATATATATATATATATATATATATATATATATAAATTATCAAATCCTCCTAATTACTATATATATATATTCATACACACACACATTTTTTAATCCAACATATTTTTATTACTTCAAATCAGATATCCACAAGAAATAACGTCTGAAGTAATAAAAATACACGCACACACATATGTGCGTGTGTGTGTGTGTTATTATTGTATGCTTTGAAACCTTCATTATTCACACACATTTATATATATATATATATATATATTGGTGAGATGTTTTTCTCTATTTAATTTAAACTATCTTAATTTTATGTCTGAATTGCAGTATAGAGCATTAGTATATTTTATTAACTATTGTTAGATTTGACAGGTTATTTAAAATATATTAAATCTTCTCTGATCCATTTGATAATTTATATATGACCAATTGGAGTATATATTCTCGTAGTAGGGGGCTTACGAATATCTATTGCTGTAGTTATGGTTTGTTTATTTTACTTGTTTGTAAATCTTTTTATTATATATTAAATTTTAAAAAATAACCAACTATTTTAATTGTATTTTCTTTATTTATAATTGAGTTAATGTTGTTGATTGCATAAATTAGAATATTGATGAAGATTCTGCCACAACATAAGAGTGAGGACTAGAAGAAATCCCCTGTAAGGATTATAGATAAAAAAAAGAAAAAAAAACAGAAAGCTGAAATGCATTAAATAATCTTACATATATGAACCATTCTATCTTTTCTATAAATCAATTAAGTTTTACCTCGGTGTTTATATAAGATTCTATGATTTACATTATTTGCTGAAGGTTTCAATAAACTTTATCCCTCTACTCAAGTGAGGAGACTTACTCTCTTTTCTTGTTGTACTGCTGCACCTTTTCTGTGCAACTATGAGAATCCTAGTAGCTGTATGTTTATAGGGTTTGCATCTCTCTCATTTACTGAAGGCATGAGCTGAAAGCCAAAAGGCTTCATATCAACATCTAAATTATTTACTTTCATTATTTTATCATACTTATAGATCAGATTCATGATAAGCTGGCCCACACTTTCTGAATACTTTAAAGTAATTGTTTTTCTTACACATACATTGTTGATACCTTTCTCTTTTTGTTTATTTCCCTCTCCATCTGGCATACGTAATGAAGTTCTGAATTTTAGTTGCTGGAGGTTGCTAATACAAAAATTTAATTATTAAGCGCTTTCAAAGCACATGATCATGATTAATTATATTTAGTAAATATTGATTTATTACTGAAGATTTAAATTCTGTTGTTTATTAGAATTAGAATTTTGCCTTATCCCTTCAGGACCAAGGTGATCATGGCTCTCCACAGAGCCCTTTTTCATTATCTCTGAATTACTGGGATTTCTTGGGAAAGATATTGAATTGTTTTCCTGTTGCCTTCTCCATGTTTTTGGAATTCAGAGTTTTCCTTATCTTAGACTGGTTACTACCCAAGGCAAGAAAGCCTAGTCTACCCTGCTATTTTTTAATACCATGTCTCTTCAGGAGCTAGGTGATCATGACTCTCCAAAGTTCTTTTTTATTATCTGTGAATTACTATGATTTCTTGGGAAAAATAGTGGAATGGAATCCCATTTTCCATAGTTTGCCTTTTCTCCATAGTTTGACTGAATTCAAGGCAAAAAAACAGTTTTTCATTTTTTTTTATATCTTGATTATGTCATAGTCCTCCACAAGGCTTTTTTATTATCTGTGAAAAAAATAACAGTCTACCCTTATTTTTTAACACCATATCTTGGTTTCGCATTGTATTTTCCACAGTTTGGTATTCAGTTTTTCTTTTATACACAAGATGTCATAGTCCCGCTATTTAAACCAGAAGGAGATTAATTTAAATTTTTTTATTTTATCTTTTTTAACGATCAGCTTTAAAAAGGGTGAATTGAAAAACAAATGAAAAAAGAATGTTAACAACATATTTTTTCACACCCAACCCAGTTCTGCGGAATCAAAATCAACATTGAGTTTAATGTTGAATGAACAATTGGAGTAAAGTGAAGTAAAATTTTTCCCCCGAATTGTTTTTTTCCACAGTTTGGTATTCAGAGTTTTTCTTTTAGACTATAATTAATCATGACTTCACAAGACAAGAAAGGCACAGCTGATTGGGCAAAATTTGAACTCGGTCTGGCAAATCCACTTTCCCTGCATATCACATTTTTAAACTAATCAAAAAGAGAATGAACTGAAAGATTAATTGAATAAATTTTTTTAAATTTTGGTTTTTTGAATTTTCAGTTTCTTTTTTTAACTAGTCCAAGTATGATGATAAACTTTTAAAAAGGCCTCTGATCAGGAATTGGAGGTTTTGAGCTTTGTAGAAAAAACCAAATGTAAAAAAGAATGTTGAACCCCAAACAAAAAACAAAAACTGTGAAAGTATAAAAAATACATTTTTTCACACCCAAACCAGTTCACTTGACTTAAAAATCAAAATCAACATTGAGTTGCCTTACTTCTTGCCTATCTCAACTGGAAATTTTTTCTAAGCTCTATACTAAACATTAAATCTGTTACGAAAAAAAGAACTAAACAAAATGAACACAAAACAATCAGCTTTAAAATGGACCGTAATGCAAATGATAAAAGAAGATTAACAAAAATTTTTCCCACAGTTCTGTGAATCGAATGCGTTGAGTTTAAGCTATGAATTTTTTTTGCATGCTAGACGAATGCAGCTATTGATTTTTTTGCATGCTAGCATGCATTAACATTCGTGTCAGTCAGCTGTTGGCTCTCACACTGGCCAATAGAATCTTCCTGCCTATCCGTGGCAGCCATTATAACTTCAACAAAATATAATTAATCATGACCATTCACAAGATCAGTAGTGTGAAAGTGAACACAGCTGATTAGGGCAAAATTTGAACTCGGTCTGGCAAATCCACTTTCCGTGCTGATGTCTATTACATTACCTGCATATCACATTTGTTATAAATAATCCTTCAAAAAGAGTAACCATTAAATTTCTCTCATGAACTGAAATTGATTTTAGCTTATCTACTCAGAATTCAATATTTTTTACTAAATTTTTGGTTTATTCTGAATAACATTCATCAGTTTAGCTTTTATTATACCTAGTCCAAGTATGATGATAAACTACATTCCACAGCAAGGCCTCTGATCAGGATATTGGAGGTTTTGAGCTTTGTAGAACTCCCTCTTAATTGCTGGTGTTCCCAGGTCCACCCTGCCTTGGGGTGGTAGCACCTGTTAGGCTCCCAGCTATGGGCAAATAGTGAACCCCCAAACAAAAACAAAACACTGTGAAAGTATAAAAATACATTTTTACAGGAAAAACTAGTAGCATTGCCTGGCGTTGCCCGGGCTTGATTCAAAAAGCGTATGACTCATACAGCAATCACTATCACTTGACTTAAAATATTTTTGCCCTTCCTTGCCTTTAAAGGAGTGCCCTTTGCCATGCTGATGTTGCTACATGCCTTACTTCTTGCCTATCTCACACTGGAAATTTTTTCTAAGCTCTATACTAAACATTAAATCTGTTACGAAAAAAAGAACTAAACAAAATGAACACAAAACAATCAGCTTTAAAAATGGACTCGTAACTGGAAAAACCAAATGATAAAAGAATGTTAACAACAAATACTTTTTCACACCTAACCCAGTTCTGTGGAATCAGAATCAACGTTGAGTTTAAGCAAGCGAATGAGCCAATTGGAGTAAAGTGCCATGCAGATTAAAATTTTTCCCACTTGTGACGAATGCAGCTATCGATTTTTTTTGCATGCTAGCATGCTAGTTAACATTCGTGTCAGTCAGCTGTTGGCACTCACACTGGCCAATAGAATCTTCCTGCCTATTCGTGGCAGCCAGCTATTGGCTCTCACTCTGGCCAGTACAAAATGGCTGCAAACTAAATGAAAACTGTCGTAGAAGCATGAAAAAATCAATTATTTCCACTATCAATGTGAGTTGGGAAATGCAAAGTTGATCTTGGCCTTCCTGCTAACTTGGAGCATGTGCATGTAAATTTGGTGCAAATCTGTTGAAAATGCATTCGTTACACACACACACACACACACACACATCCTGCCTTTTATAGATAGAAATACCAGCAATACATTTTTGTATGAAAAAATGACTAATAATACATTTTATCTGTAGTTGAAGGTATACAATTGCATTCAAAATATATTTAGTTGAAACCATAAGACTTGGTTCAAAATATTTAGATTTCAGCATTAAATAACCCATAGAGTTTGATATACCACTAAACAAAATCAACCAAACAACCAATATGGAAGAACACTTTCATGGTAATAATCCGTATAATAATCCTAGAATTTCTTAAAGAAAACAAACTGTATTCCAAAATACAACTTCAACAAAACTACAACATAAAACACACATATCACTGCTTCTAGTAATTATGTCCACAGAAACATGTATATGTACAAAAGCTGAATATCATTTACCATGCAGAATAACGTATATATTTATTATTTCAAGGCTCCCAAGAAAATTAAATTTTGGTATTAAATGACCCATAAGGAGTCGATATGCCATTAAACAAACAAATCAATCAATGATTTATTATACTTATTATCTGATTTAACAAGAGAATTTAATTTGTCTGAATTTCTCAGATGAGTAATTATTATTATTTACATTTGGACTATTGGTCTCATTTTTGTTGTTATTATCACAACATTTTTGTCTTTATGCTCTCTTGTTTATGTTTGTCAATCCAGGTAACTTTTATGGAATTTCAAAGTGAATCCCTTATTTAATCTAGGGATATCTTGTCTAGCTCTTAGTTGGTACTGCCCAGTTATTGCTCTCCCCATTTCCCAGATTGACAAGCACCTGATGAAGGCTGGAGAGCACTTAGACAAAATGTAAAGATAATAACAACAAAGATGAAGACAATAGTCCACATGTAGATAATGTAAATAAAGAGAATTTTAGTTTGGACAATCTCCTCAAAGATGAAGAAACTTGAAGCAATGGAAATGTGGTTCTACAGAACGATGCTGAGAATACCATGGACCAAACATGTCAGCGATGATGTTTTGAAAAAAATGGAAACAAAAAGGAAAGTTATACTAAACATTGAAAAAAGGCAGTTGAAATTTCTGGGGCACATAATGAGGAAGGAGGGCTTGGAAAATCTGATACTCACAAGATAGATAGAGGGAAAGAGGGACAAAGGAAAGCAGTGCATACATACTTGATGAGCTTGAGTAAATAGATGGGAAAACAGGGTTTGGGAGAAATAACAAAAAACAAAACTGATTAAGAGCTACAAGGGACAGGAAGATGTGGAGGGTTATGATCGCCTATGTTCTGAAAGGACATGGCACATAAAATAAGAAAAATCTGAGAAAATTTCACGGTTTTTCTGTCTGAATTTTCTAATGAATCTTAATTCTTCAGTTAACGATTGAATAAGCTCATGGTGAGTTCTATCTCAATAAAATATCTGTAGAAATTTACCTATCACATCATTAAACACTTTTATCTTTCCTTCTAGCCAAATCCCTACATTACAAACATTTCTTTTAATAATTTAAAAATAATTCAACGAGTAATGTTATCTTATTTATGGTAACTGGATTTTTGGCAGTTACTTTACTCAGTTACCATTGTTTGATACTGTGCATCTGAAAATTGGCATTTTTATCATGGTTGCCATCTTTTTTGGTCTTTCAGCTGAGAAGAAAGTGTAGTATCTGTCCTTATCAGCTTAATTTGATCCTTTCTCTCTTCACTTTTACCTCCCCTGCTTTCTTTCTCTTATTTTTTCACTGAAACCAAGTAGTGTCTTTTCTCCTCTTTCCAAATGATCCAAACAGAATACTCCATTATTTATGAGATATTGACAGTGCATAACGGACATGCGAACTAACAATGGGGGGCACAAGCACAATTCTAATAGGATTCTGTCTCTAAACTTTTTTTTTAAATCATTCGTTTAATATCCTTTTTTCCATAGCTACAGGGTGCAATGGATAAATTGTCATCTTAATTACGCAAGAATGAAAATAACACTAACATCTTATTTTAAAAGATGTATTTACCAAAATTGCACAAAAATATTTGAAAATACTAAAGAGTAAATTTATTCAATAAAATCGCCATTAGCTTCAATCACAGCTCTTCTGGACAGTGTCCTTATTTAAGTTGGTGAATACTTTCATAATCCTTATCTTCAGTTTATCTATGGTCTTACAAGGAGTTTTGTTGGACTCTCACTCAGCTGCGCCCCATACATAATAACTCAAGGGTTGCTGTCTGGAGATTTAGGTGGCCAAATGTCCAACAGTCATAACTGGGTTCTCCTGTTTGTGTGGTATGGTGCAGAGTCCTGTTGCCAGACATAGGGTCTTCCAGCAGCCGTACTCTTGACCCAAGGCACTTAATGTAGGCCTCCATGTTGATTCTGAGGTCCTGTAGGAAGATGAATGAAGGCATAACGTTACCATCACTAGTGATCACTCCAAACACCTTTGTAATCACCATTATAATCATCCAACTCTTTCTGAATCCTTTGCACTGTCCTCAGATTGACACCCTAACACTAAAAAATGTTTGTATTGGAGCTTCTGACACAAATTCCAAGCAGTACAGCATGCTGTTTCCAAATTTCTGGTAGAGTGAATTGTCATGATGCCCTTTTTCTCACAGACGGTGCCCAACTGACCCTACTATACTGTGCAGTCAACAAAATCAAAAATTGCATAAAATTAAAAATATAAAAAGACAAGAATTTACCCATCGCACCCTGTATATATTCCGAATTTCGTACTTTGCTTAAATGTTTGATTTTTAATATTTCAGACAATGTAATGAATCCTCTTGTGCAACTTACCAGAAGGAATGTTATATTTCTGTCATTTGCAAACGATATAAGATCATGTTGCAACCAATGTTTATAGTACTGTTAATCATACAAAGATGTGCATGTTTGGACCTCACCTACTATGTCAAGGAAGGAATGAGCCCAGGAACATACCTGGGTAATATTGCTGCTGACTCTCACATACTGGACACAGTAGCACCCCAAGACCAAAACTTGATAACTTTCAGTCTCCTTCAACAAGGAGAGCATGATAGTCCTCAAATGTTTCGTGTTTCAGAAAAAACTGGAAAACTTTTTACCATTTTGAGACTAGATGCAGAAAGGCTTTGTACTTACAATGCAGAATGTTATGAAATGGTGGACATCGCTGTGAGGAGAGCAGAATCTTTTATGAAGATTCTGGAAATCAAAGTCATCATCCAAGATGTCAATGATCATAAACCGGAATTTCCTCAAAAACTCATCAATATTGAATTCTATGAAAATGCCAAGAAAGGAACCAAAAAATTAATTCCAAATGCTGTCGACAGAGATGTTGGACTTTTAAACTCCCAGATTGATTATCAACTGAAAAAGCTCACAAGTGATCCATTTAGTTTATTCATTTCCAAAAGAATAGATGGCAGTTCTAAACTTGAAATACAACTGGAAGATGACCTTGACAGAGAAGTAAAAGATTCTTACCTTGTTCATGTCATTGCTAAAGATGGTGGGAAACCTGCTAAAGAAAGTGTTTTAGATGTACACATTTCTATCACAGATATTAATGACAACACACCAGTGTTTTCCCAAAATGTCTACAATGTTACTGTGAAGAATGAACCAAGTGAAGTTGCTCCAATTGTTATTTTGTCAAGCAAGGATTTAGATTCTGGAAGATATGGTAAAATTAAGTATCTGTTTAGCTCTAAAACACCTAACACTGCTAAAGATCACTTTAAGTTAGACGAACTGACTGGAGAAGTGTTTCTACACAGAAAATTCTCTATTGGTCACAAGCAGACGTATAATTTATATATTGAGGCAGTTGATGAAGGCACACCTCCTTTAAGTTCGATTGCAATGGTTCAGGTAAATGTTGTGAATGTACAAAACAATCCACCCAAAATTGATATAAATTTTGTGTCTGCTTCTAAAGGTAAAATTGCTGCCATTTCTGAAGATATCAAAGTTGGAAGTTTCATTGCTTATGTAAAGATCACTGATCATGATAGTGGACAGAACGGGGAAGTTACTTGTGAACTCCATCATGGTAAATTTCAGCTTCAGAACATTGACACTAAAAAATATAAAATAATTGTGAAAAAGCCAGTCGATCGAGAGACACAAGACCGTCATGACATCGCAATCACTTGTCAAGACAAAGGATCTCCGCCTCTTCACAGTGAGACAAAATTCTCTGTCCAAGTGACGGATGTCAATGATGTAAAACCACAGTTTGGTGAGCAAACAATCAAGCTCTCAATTGCAGAAAACCAAAAAGCCAAATCACAAGTTGGCTGGATCAATGCCACTGATCCTGATCTGGGTCCTGGAGGAAAACTGACTTATTCCCTATTGACAAGCAACAAAGAACAGTTTTTCCCTTTTCGCATATCAGAAAATGGCTTAATCTCCACAATTATGTCTTTGGATTATGAGTTTCAAAAGATTTACAAGTTTAAGGTTTTGGTTGAAGATAATGGAACCCCATCTTTGAACAATACAGTGAATGTGGAGATTGAAGTTATTGATGAAAATGATAATGCTCCATATTTCACCTTTCCCAGTGTTAATCCATATAACATGGATGTCATTTATTATCCGCATCACTCAAAGAACATTACAATTCTAAAAGCATCAGACAAAGATAGCCTGGAGAATGCATTTCTGAAATATGAAATAATCGGCGGTAATAAAGCTAAGATGTTCAAATTGAACCGTTACACTGGTTTATTATCATTCAATCGTGAGTTCAAGCAACAAGATGCCGGTTCATATGACTTACAGTTTGCTGTAAAAGATAGTGGAATCCCTGTATTATCAGCAAGCACTAATTTATCTTTAATATTGAGTGTGAGCAATATAACATCTGATTATGTCTTCAATTCTACAAAGCCACAATTAAGTGACAGGATCCATCAGTATTTACTAATTGTTATTGTTTTGGTGGCTGTGACCCTAGCCGTGCCCATTACAGCAGGTCTTTCAATCTGTTGTATTCGATGTAATGATCGCAGAAAGGCTGCCCACAGTGCTTCTGCAGCTAAACTTTCCAAGAAAAATTTTAACCAACAGAGACATTTGATCGTCCACCCACATTTGGCTGCTGCTTGGTCTGATGCTCCTGTTGTGAGAGCAGCTACCCCAAACAGAGGAAAGAAGAATTCAGCTTTATCAATGAAACTTCAAAAAGTTACAGATGCCATCTATCAGGTAAGGAATCCCATTTTTTAATTTTTATTTCTATTGCAATGGTATATATATGTATATATAATCACTTGGTAAGGAGGTTCATAATAATAATAACAACAACATATACTGGGTGTAACAGCATAATTATCTATCCCACAAAATGTTTAATATCTAAAAAACCACTAAACTAATTGAGTTTCTTTATTCCAGGTTTTCAGATAAGATACTTAGCCATCTTGACACCATTTGTCATTAGAATCACTGAAAAGCCCTTTGAGTTATTCAGCTAGAAAGAAAATAATTTTGTGTCAAACCCACTGTCTTCTCAAATGAGCAATGGTGAAAGGAAAAAGATCATTCAGGCCTTCAGTAATGGTACCAACATTCATACTCTGGCTTCCATTTTCAATGTCCATCGAAGAACCATCAAGAGAATGGTGAATAAGTTTAAAAAATGAAGGAACAGTAGAGAGAACTCACAGCAGCAAGACGTATCATCATTTCAACTTAGAGCTAAAGAGATCAATTAGAAAAAATCCACCTCAATTCATAAGATGTTTGGCATGTAAGAGAGAAGTTTCAGCTATGACAGCCCAAAGAGCAGTGAAAAAAGAATTGAAAATGAAATTGTATGTTAAACCTGTGAGGCACCTTGTTACTATAAGACAGGTAGTTAGAACTTTAGGACGGGTGATGATTATCTTGAATAAGTTGTAAAATGATTCTGGAATAACATATATATATATTTGAACTTTATTTCAATCCTTCATGAGCTTCCAATCCTTTGCTATGACTAATTAATGATGAACATGTCATTTTCATTCATGATTGATTTCATCACAATTCTTTTGTTAAGCTTGGAGAGTAATGATACATTTTTATTGCTCAAAGTAGAGTAAAAACGAAGGATTTGCAGTCATATGTTTATGTGGACTTCTGTCCTTGTTTTGGTATGAGGAACCCGCCACCAAAGTCTGTAAATGCATTTTTGATATATCCTGTATCTATGTATGTATGTATATATATAAAAAAGAAAAACAAAACTGTTGATGGAACCATTGGATAACTTACCAAAACCTAAAACTGTTATCCAGATAAAGTCACAAACAAAAACAACAATACTGAAGAAAGAAAAAGGCCTAATGGCAAACCTACCTACTCAGTAAAGTGCTCAAAGCCAAGATTGCCTTGACAGCAAAAAAACACTTAACAATATTCAATCCTATGAATGCGGTTATGACTACAGGCATCCTTTCATAGGATTTAACATTGTTAAGCATGCATATATATATATATATATATACACACACAGACAGCCTATTTTGTTGTATCACAGCTCATCAGGGTGGCTAGACATTTGATTGCTTCAATTGTTTAGATTTAAGATGTATACGTAGGGTTTTTGGAGGAAGGAGAGGGGTGGTACAGCTTTAGTAATTTAGATAAACACAGATTTTAATGTTTGATAGTAATTTAAATGTTTAAAAACTCCACAAAGAAATTAAATTTATATATATATAAAGCAGTACTTAAATTTAAATCATGAGTATATGCAAGTTGATGACAGCTACAGAGGATTTTATATCTAGATTCATTTCAGGTATTCAGTCTGGAAAGGACTCAGTGTTCTAGATTCTGGAATATGTTAGCCATTATTAGGTGTTGTACAAATTTGTGAAGTTATTGTGTTTGAAGTGTTGTTGCAGGCTTCAACACTTTGATGAGATTTTTATGCTCCTGATAGATTTAACCTGCAAACAATTTTTGTAGGATAAGTGTGAATTCAAAGAAAATATAAGCCATAGAATTTAAACCAAAAACTATTAACAAATATATTGATAGGACATTTTACAAAAGGAGAAAAAAATTTGAAAGCAACTGTCACTGTCTGTTGTTGAGGTACTTACATATTTGCATGAGCGAAAAAGAATACCTCTTTTCATTATGAAAAGTTCCCAAGAAAGAATCTCACTCTAGCAAAAATCTTGTGGCTGTAATAAAATTTTCTTGCAGGTGTGGTAATAGCTTATTATAACCACTGGTGAAGGAAAGGGATTAAGCAGTTAAGTGGCCTAACTCGGCTGGTTGATATTAGTTATAGTGTGCAGATTATGAAATTATATTGTAATAAAGAACACAATCAACTTCATAGATATTTCTAAACAAAAATAAATTCAAAGCATATTTTTCAATTCATAATTTTATTTTTAGATCCAACAATATCATTTGCCAATATTTAAAAAAAAATTTTGTTAAGCATATTTCAATGTTCACAAGTGACATACATTCTCTGAAAGAAGAATTATTGTTATCCTGTTCCTTTTTTTATTCTATAAAGCTCAGTGAAATACAGGGAGAAAGATGAAAATAATTAGAGTTCCATAATATACAGTAGTTGAATATTTTGGTAGGTCATGCAGCAATCAATTTTATGGGTAAAGAAAGTTCATGTAAGCATTTGTGAACATGGGCGTGCATCAGTCAGAGGTTTTGATGAATGAAGAAATTGAGCTTCTATTTAAAGAAAGTTGCTGGTTCAAATTGCAAAACTGCAAAATGAAAATTTGAGAACTCCTGATTGGTTCATAATTATTAATATTTTCAAAATTAATTATTTTTACATCTTGTGCATGGATCTACTTGCAGAGAGATGGGATTTTGACATTTGTATTTTGGTTCCTGAAGTAGAAACATCAAGGTCAAATACTCCTAACTGCTAAAATAATTAGAATGAGGTTAGAAACTTTCAATGAAACTGGAGCTTCTTCTCTCTCATATTCTAGAAACTTGGAAGATGCCTTAAGCAATCTGGCTATGAAAGGTGACTGGTGATTTTGCTGTATGGCAGTTATTGTCTTCAAGTTATATTTAATACAATAATGATACTTAATACAGTATTTACATTAGTTGGACTATTGTCCTCATCTTTGTCGCCATATTTGTCACAACGTTTTGACGTTGTACCTCCGGCCTTCTTCAGGTGGTTGGAATTTCGAACTGAACCCTTTATTTCGATCACTGGGGTAGACTGTTTCTAGTTCCACATGCCATGTTTGATGGATGTCCATTATCAGTTATCTCCTGCTAATTTTCAAACATGGCACGTGGAACTAGAACAGTCTACCCCAGTGATCGAAATAAAGGGTTCAGTTCGAAATTCCAACCACCTGAAGAAGGCCAGAGTGTACAACAGCCGAAACGTTGTGACAAATATGGCGACAAAGATGAGGACAATAGTCCGACTAATGTAAATACTGTACATAATACCTCATCTCAGAAATATAGACAGACAATGATACTTAATGTTACATCACATGAATGGAGCAGTATGATAGGGAAACACCTCTGTTAATGCATGGAAACACCTTTGGGGGGGTGGAGGCAATGGATAAGTTAAAAGAATACAGTCTCAGTCAAAGAATCAAACTCACTTTCAGTGCCTTTATCTTTGTTCAGGACAGGGAAGTATACATACCCCAATACAACCCTTTTACTAAATCTGTCAAATTTTGATTAGTCATTGTAACTTTCCTCCACCCTCTCGTTCTTGCCTCTGGTCTGTTTCATAAGCTGTTCAAAAAAAAACTTTTCAATGCAACAGAACAGTCTCCCCCCAACAAAAAAATAAACCCAGCTTTCGCCTCATTTTTAGCTTTATATGCTGCTTGCTTACCCACAATCTGTACAGCCTTCTTTTATGAAAAGATGCCTTAAACAATCTGCCTATGAAAAGCCATGGCTAGACAAGTTCCAAAATGTTAAGTCATATTACTGTCACTTCTCTCCGCCAAAAACTTTTTGGTATATTGTTTGTTTAATATCTAGTTTTTTTTGTAGCAGCAGTCCTCTTAAATTCTTCAAACAGTGTCAAAATATTTCAGTAAGTATTAAAATACTTCATTGTAGAATTCAACTAACTTACTTATTTTAACTGCAAAGTTTTATGACGATAATTGGAAGAAATGAAGCTAAGAAAAGCAAATGTACAGATTAAACCCTGAATTAAAAAAAAAATAATTTTTAATCACTTAACCTGAAATTACTATTATAATCTGTTGACCACTGCCTTCTTAACCTTTTTGTGGTTGAACATGTCTTAAACTAGTAAAACAATGAACACTCAAAGGTTAACTAATTATTTCACAGTGTGGTTGAACCCTTGGGCTCACAGATAACTTTCACTGGTCTAATCAATGTCTTAGTTCCACTAGGCTTAAGTTGGAAAGATATATTATATGAGACTGGCCACTGAACATTTGAAGCAACACAAAGATGACACGAGATGTGGTAGACTTTATTATTCAAACTGCCCGCTGGATCCGTCTTGCTTCCAGCATTCCCTAGTGGGGCTGGAAATGTTTACAATCATCATAATAATCAACATTATTGATGTTGTTATATTAAAGCCAATGGTCTCACAAAGGTAATCAGTATTTTATAGTGGTAAATTTTAGGATTCATTTAGTGGTATATTTCTGCAGTTATGTTGTATGGCTGAAGAACTTTTCCACAAGCTGCTCTGGACTTGTTGAAAAGATTGGTCCTGACTTGGGATCTTGATTCCAGTCACTTTCTCACTGACATAATGTGGCTTCCCTCTGTCTTTACTATAAATATTTTCATGGTATCTGCTCTGATGAGCTATTTTCACTGGTGCCCTGACTACATGAACTTAAGTGCGCTACTTGGTTGGTATCTCGGTCCCACCCTTTTACTGTCAAAACAGTTAAATGCAACTGCCTCTTCTACTCCAACAGCTTCTCTTGCACTTCTCGATGGTGGAACTCCCTTCTTCTTACTTGCTTCCTTGATAACTATAATCTTCAAAAATTTAAATCTACATCTTCTGATGCCTTCATCCCTATTCTTTTTATCCTTCTCTGTTCTTCTTTTTATCCTTTCCTCAATCCCTCCCCCCATACCCAGTCTTTTCCCTTACTTTCACTCTCTCTAGCTCCTTATTTGCAGTGAAATGCTTAAGAAAAAGTACTAGAGATGCTGGAAATAAAGATCTGACAATT